CTCTCTGGTCTCTCTGGTCTCTCTCTGGTCTCTCTGGTCTCTCTGGTCTCTCTTGGTCTCTCTCTGGTCTCTCTGGTCTCTTGGTCTCTCTCTGGTCTCTCTCTGGTCTCTCTCTGGTCTCTCTCTTGGTCTCTCTGGTCTCTTGGTCTCTCTTGGTCTCTCTCTGGTCTCTCTCTGGTCTCTCTCTGGTCTCTTGGTCTCTCTCTGGTCTCTCTTGGTCTCTCTGGTCTCTCTTGGTCTCTCTGGTCTCTCTCTGGTCTCTCTTGGTCTCTCTCTGGTCTCTCTCTGGTCTCTCTTGGTCTCTCTCTGGTCTCTCTCTGGTCTCTCTTGGTCTCTCTCTGGTCTCTCTGGTCTCTCTTGGTCTCTCTTGGTCTCTCTCTGGTCTCTCTTGGTCTCTCTCTGGTCTCTCTGGTCTCTCTCTGGTCTCTCTGGTCTCTCTTGGTCTCTCTCTGGTCTCTCTGGTCTCTCTCTGGTCTCTCTCTGGTCTCTCTGGTCTCTCTGGTCTCTCTCTGGTCTCTCTCTGGTCTCTCTCTGGTCTCTCTCTGGTCTCTCTTGGTCTCTCTGGTCTCTCTCTGGTCTCTCTGGTCTCTCTGGTCTCTCTCTGGTCTCTCTCTGGTCTCTCTCTGGTCTCTCTCTGGTCTCTCTCTGGTCTCTCTCTGGTCTCTCTCTGGTCTCTCTGGTCTCTCTCTGGTCTTCTCTGGTCTCTCTCTGGTCTCTGGTCTCTTGGTCTCTCTCTGGTCTCTCTCTGGTCTCTCTGGTCTCTCTCTGGTCTCTCTCTGGTCTCTCTCTGGTCTCTCTGGTCTCTCTTGGTCTCTCTCTGGTCTCTCTTGGTCTCTCTCTGGTCTCTCTCTGGTCTCTCTCTGGTCTCTCTCTGGTCTCTCTCTGGTCTCTCTCTGGTCTCTCTCTGGTCTCTCTCTGGTCTCTCTCTGGTCTCTCTGGTCTCTCTCTGGTCTCTCTGGTCTCTCTGGTCTCTCTCTGGTCTCTCTCTGGTCTCTCTCTTGGTCTCTCTCTGGTCTCTCTCTGGTCTCTCTCTGGTCTCTCTCTGGTCTCTCTCTGGTCTCTTGGTCTCTCTGGTCTCTCTCTGGTCTCTCTCTGGTCTCTCTCTGGTCTCTCTCTGGTCTCTCTCTGGTCTCTCTCTGGTCTCTCTCTGGTCTCTCTGGTCTCTCTCTGGTCTCTCTCTGGTCTCTCTCTGGTCTCTCTCTGGTCTCTCTCTGGTCTCTCTGGTCTCTCTCTGGTCTCTCTTGGTCTCTCTTGGTCTCTCTCTGGTCTCTCTCTGGTCTCTCTCTGGTCTCTCTCTGGTCTCTCTCTGGTCTCTCTCTGGTCTCTCTGGTCTCTCTCTGGTCTCTCTCTGGTCTCTCTTGGTCTCTCTCTGGTCTCTCTCTGGTCTCTCTGGTCTCTCTGGTCTCTCTCTGGTCTCTCTCTGGTCTCTCTTGGTCTTCTCTGGTCTCTCTCTGGTCTCTCTTGGTCTCTCTCTGGTCTCTCTGGTCTCTCTCTGGTCTCTCTCTGGTCTCTCTCTGGTCTCTCTGGTCTCTCTTGGTCTCTCTGGTCTCTCTCTGGTCTCTCTCTGGTCTCTCTGGTCTCTTGGTCTCTCTCTTGGTCTCTCTCTGGTCTCTCTCTGGTCTCTCTCTGGTCTCTCTGGTCTCTCTGGTCTCTCTGGTCTCTCTTGGTCTCTCTCTGGTCTCTCTGGTCTCTGGTCTCTGGTCTCTCTTGGTCTCTCTCTGGTCTCTCTCTGGTCTCTCTCTGGTCTCTCTCTGGTCTCTCTTGGTCTCTCTGGTCTCTCTGGTCTCTCTCTGGTCTCTTGGTCTCTCTCTGGTCTCTCTCTGGTCTCTCTTGGTCTCTCTGGTCTCTCTCTGGTCTCTCTCTGGTCTCTCTCTGGTCTCTCTCTGGTCTCTCTCTGGTCTCTCTTGGTCTCTCTGGTCTCTCTCTGGTCTCTCTGGTCTCTCTCTGGTCTCTCTCTGGTCTCTCTCTGGTCTCTCTGGTCTCTCTGGTCTCTCTCTGGTCTCTCTTGGTCTCTCTGGTCTCTCTTGGTCTCTCTCTGGTCTCTCTGGTCTCTCTCTGGTCTCTCTCTGGTCTCTCTCTGGTCTCTCTTGGTCTCTCTGGTCTCTTGGTCTCTCTCTGGTCTCTCTCTGGTCTCTCTTGGTCTCTCTGGTCTCTCTCTGGTCTCTCTCTGGTCTCTCTGGTCTCTCTTGGTCTCTCTGGTCTCTTGGTCTCTCTGGTCTCTTGGTCTCTCTCTGGTCTCTCTGGTCTTGGTCTCTCTGGTCTCTCTCTGGTCTCTGGTCTCTGGTCTCTCTCTGGTCTCTCTCTGGTCTCTCTCTGGTCTCTCTTGGTCTCTCTGGTCTCTCTGGTCTCTCTCTGGTCTCTCTCTGGTCTCTTGGTCTCTCTGGTCTCTCTCTGGTCTCTCTCTGGTCTCTCTCTGGTCTCTCTTGGTCTCTCTGGTCTCTCTCTGGTCTCTCTGGTCTCTCTCTGGTCTCTCTCTGGTCTCTCTTGGTCTCTCTCTGGTCTCTCTGGTCTCTCTTGGTCTCTCTCTGGTCTCTCTCTGGTCTCTCTCTGGTCTCTCTCTGGTCTCTCTGGTCTCTCTGGTCTCTCTCTGGTCTCTCTCTTGGTCTCTCTCTGGTCTCTCTCTGGTCTCTCTCTGGTCTCTCTGGTCTCTCTCTGGTCTCTCTTGGTCTCTCTGGTCTCTCTGGTCTCTCTTGGTCTCTCTGGTCTCTCTCTGGTCTCTCTCTGGTCTCTCTGGTCTCTTGGTCTCTCTGGTCTCTCTCTGGTCTCTCTGGTCTCTCTTGGTCTCTCTCTGGTCTCTCTCTGGTCTCTCTCTGGTCTCTCTTGGTCTCTCTCTGGTCTCTCTGGTCTCTCTGGTCTCTCTGGTCTCTCTTGGTCTCTCTCTGGTCTCTCTCTGGTCTCTCTGGTCTCTGGTCTCTTGGTCTCTCTCTGGTCTCTCTGGTCTCTCTGGTCTCTCTGGTCTCTCTCTGGTCTCTCTGGTCTCTCTCTGGTCTCTCTGGTCTCTCTTGGTCTCTCTCTGGTCTCTCTCTGGTCTCTCTGGTCTCTCTCTGGTCTCTCTGGTCTCTCTCTGGTCTCTCTGGTCTCTCTTGGTCTCTCTGGTCTCTCTTGGTCTCTCTGGTCTCTCTTGGTCTCTCTCTGGTCTCTCTCTGGTCTCTCTGGTCTCTCTCTGGTCTCTCTGGTCTCTCTGGTCTCTCTCTGGTCTCTCTCTGGTCTCTCTCTGGTCTCTCTTGGTCTCTCTGGTTCTTGGTCTCTCTGGTCTCTCTTGGTCTCTCTGGTCTCTCTGGTCTCTCTCTGGTCTCTCTCTGGTCTCTCTTGGTCTCTCTCTGGTCTCTCTGGTCTCTCTCTGGTCTCTCTCTGGTCTCTCTCTGGTCTCTCTCTGGTCTCTCTCTGGTCTCTCTTGGTCTCTCTCTGGTCTCTCTCTGGTCTCTCTCTGGTCTCTCTCTGGTCTCTCTTGGTCTCTCTGGTCTCTCTCTGGTCTCTCTTGGTCTCTCTGGTCTCTCTGGTCTCTCTTGGTCTCTCTCTGGTCTCTCTTGGTCTCTCTGGTCTCTCTTGGTCTCTCTCTGGTCTCTCTGGTCTCTCTTGGTCTCTCTCTGGTCTCTCTGGTCTCTGTCTCTGGTCTCTCTCTGGTCTCTCTGGTCTCTCTCTGGTCTCTCTCTGGTCTCTCTGGTCTCTCTCTGGTCTCTCTTGGTCTCTCTTGGTCTCTCTGGTCTCTCTCTGGTCTCTCTCTGGTCTCTCTCTGGTCTCTCTGGTCTCTCTTGGTCTCTCTCTGGTCTCTCTCTGGTCTCTCTCTGGTCTCTCTCTGGTCTCTCTCTGGTCTCTCTCTGGTCTCTCTTGGTCTCTCTGGTCTCTCTTGGTCTCTCTGGTCTCTGGTCTCTCTTGGTCTCTCTCTGGTCTCTCTCTGGTCTCTCTTGGTCTCTCTGGTCTCTCTCTGGTCTCTCTGGTCTCTCTTGGTCTCTCTCTGGTCTCTCTGGTCTCTCTCTGGTCTCTCTCTGGTCTCTCTCTGGTCTCTCTGGTCTCTTGGTCTCTCTTGGTCTCTCTCTGGTCTCTCTGGTCTCTCTCTGGTCTCTCTTGGTCTCTCTCTGGTCTCTCTCTGGTCTCTCTGGTCTCTCTCTGGTCTCTCTGGTCTCTCTTGGTCTCTCTCTGGTCTCTCTCTGGTCTCTCTCTGGTCTCTCTTGGTCTCTCTCTGGTCTCTCTCTGGTCTCTCTCTGGTCTCTCTCTGGTCTCTCTCTGGTCTCTCTTGGTCTCTCTTGGTCTCTCTGGTCTCTCTCTGGTCTCTCTCTTGTTCTTGGTCTCTTGGTCTCGGGTCCTGGTCTCTTGGGTCTCTTGGTCTCTTGGTCTCTGGTCCTGTGCTTGGTCTCTGGTCCTGGATCTGGTCTCTTGGCTCTTGGTCTCTTGCGTCTCTTGGTCTCTTGGTCTCTTAAGGTCTCTTGGTCTCCTTGGTCTCTTGTCTCTGGGTCTCTCGGTCCTGTCTCTTGGTCTCTGGTCCTGTCTCTTGGTCTCTTGGTCTCTTGTGTCTCTTATCTCATGGTCCTGGTCTCTGTGGTCTCTGGTCTCTTGGTCTCTTGTCTCTTGGTCTCTTGTCTCTTGTCTCTGGTGTCTCTTGGTCTCTTGTCTCTTGTCCTCTTGGTCTCTGGTCCTGGTTCTTGATCTCTGGTCTTGGTCTCTTGGGTTCTCTGGTTCTCGGGTCTCTTGATCTTGGTCCTGGTCGCTTGGTCTCGTGGTATCTTGGTTCTCTTGTTTCTCTGGTCCTGGTATCTTGGTCTCTTGAGTCTTGTCTGTACTATTTCCTCAATCTACACTTTTTCAGATGTGACAATAGCTTCGACCATTTGATCATCATAGCCACAAAACACAAAAAGACCTCCTGTGCACTATGGAAAAACCCCCAAGCGACACAAGAAGTACGAGAATCATCAAACAGGCAGGACCCAGCTTACAAAAGCCAGACCAATTTGCTGAATCCCAAGAATACAATACACATCCGCTGTGGCCAAATTTGACCTATGGATACCCGCAGACCCCTCCCGCCAGCGCTGCGTCCTCTCTTACCACAGCGCGCCGCAAGGGTGGGCGAGGCACCCCTTGTCTTTGCTTCAAGCCAGAGCACAGAACAGCTATAGACCCAGAGACCAGTTTAGAACTGGGACGACCATGGACCCCTTGGGCACAGGACCCCTCCCTGCCAGACGAAACCGCCACCCTCGCTCCCCATGAACAATGCTCTGGCCTTGGGAAGAGTCCGAGAGGGAAACATCAGCGAGGGCCCCTAGCGAGACGGGACATATTCAGTATAGGAGCAACCTTCTTTCGTTGAATATTCCTGTATACTGATTGTCAAAAGATAATTAAATGCTGATGCTTAAACTTGAGACTATCTTCGTTCCTGCATCTTCTGTACAAATTGTGGACACGCCCAGCCAACCAGGCGAAACTTATTCGCTTCATTTCGGTGACCCCCGAGACGTGATCTTGACTACAGAAAGAAAGACCGCCCATGAGTGAGCTCTATACGATAGCAACTGGGTCGGTTGGCTTTAGGTCACTTGGGGCTCTCTCCTCACTGCAAACACACCGGTAAGCACCGATACCATTTCTAACAGTCCCTGCAAATTGTTTTTAAATGAGCAAGTCAGCAGAGATTTCTAGGCCCCCCCTGCATGCACCTGCGCGTGGCCGACCGCCGTGAAGGGCGTAGTCTACGCGCGACGCGATAACCCATTGCTACAATACGTAAGGTTCTCTTCGACGTTTTTGTACACTTGTGGCGATGTTGGTCTCTCCTATCAAAAAAAGTAATATCAGGAACAAGAGCCACCAGCGGTTCTACTAAGTGCAAATGACCGGACCACCCTCTCGCTGCAGAGAGGCACAAGGGAACAACTGTCGTAGTGACAACACAACATAGGTAATAGACATTAGAGAAATAGGGCATAGTTCAGGGTTCAGCAAGTAATATAGGAATAATTAAAACTCCCATATCCCCCGGGCGGGTGGGGAACCCTCAGGGCACAATATATTTAAACAGAAGAAAAAGCCCAACGTTATTTAAATTCTGTGGATTACTGATAATATTGATCTGATAATTGCGGAACAAGACGAGCCTCATAACTCTCATCTTTCCGAACCGCCTCATCCGGTGTTGCGTGCTGTCCTGGACGAGTGTCGGTACACCGGCAGACTAAAGTGTTACAACAAGGTTTAATGTTGATATGTTTCTGTGACTGCACTATGAATCCATTGTTGCGGTTTAGTAGTGGCTGTTCATGTCCATGTTGATATAGTAGGGGGCTCAATGGTGACCCAAACCTACAAACGCCCGCGCGGAGTTATGGGTGGGCCCAGCTGTGCGAATGCCCGCCCTTCATATTCTCCACGGAGCGCTAACAGTTAGAGACTCACAGTCGCGAGAGATTTGGAGATGGAGTTTTGTGGGACCCTCCCTGTTTGTACACTTGATGGCATACTCACCTGCACCGAAGGCCACCCCCCCAACACCCCTCCCCTCCCCCCTCGCGTGCCTCCTTTTCGCACCCCTTATAAAATCCATCGTGGCTCTCTTTCCCCTGTTTATTCTTTTTTTTACGAGACAACCAGAGACCATACATGCCCTCAAGACGTTCACAAACCCTAACCGTAGTATATAATCATCCCTGAAAGTCTTGTTCCTTGAGAGCGTCCGATCTGATCCTCTCCCACCCCCTAGACACCACACGCCCTGTCCTCGCCGACCGGCTCTCTCAGGACCTCGCCCAGCCTGTCATGCTGGGCAGGACACCGGGTGAAGCCCAACGCTTGCACCCCCCGCGTGCCCGGACCTTGCTTTACTACCATTGTCTGCAGTATATGAAGAAATGGCTATCCTGCCCTTTACATCGTGTTTACTAAGCTAACGTACGACCCGACGAGCACCAAATGTTCCCAAAACAGTCCCAAACCATAGGCCAAGTCCTGTCTATCATACGTGCCTCGAGCTACATATGGCCCCTCTGCACTTGCTGTTATCAAAATAAACGTACTCGGCGGGTCAACCAAAATCCGAAGCCTATAATTCCCCCGTCGTGGCTGGCGGACTCACCTGGTGGGTATAGTTTTACTGATAGTGTGTGTGCAAAATTGGCGGGTTTATTCTACTCCTAGATGATGGGTTGCGCTGCTACACCGGGTCATTGATGTTTAAGGGAACATATTATAAAATAAAAAGGCTTTGACACCTCCCCCCTATCTAGTCTGATGTCAGCTAATCTGGCCCCTAGGCCCCCACCATCCCTACATGCCTGTGGCGTTCATCTCCCGTCTCCCTTCCCAACGACAGGAGCATTATGTTCAGGGAGCACGCGCGGGCCGTGTCCGTCATCAGGGACTCGTGTCACTGTGCCCAGGTTTCCCCGATCGATGCACCCGCTCAAAGGGCGTGCTGCAAAACTGGTCTCCTGCCGTTGAGATGGTACTGGTCCTCCCTGGCTCTTAAGCCAAACACATGCCCCACCACCCGCGATGCGGGCCTGTGGTGTAACTCGCAGATCGCTGCCGCCCGCGGCCAGAGCGTGCACCTACACAAGAACGGGATACTATGGGGAAAAAACATTCGCGGTGTGTTTTCTCCCGCGCCGACCACCAGTCTATAATTGATAGGACCCCTTTTGTAAGCTCGGTCCTCCCTTTTATGATTCTCGGGTACTTCTTGTGTCCTTTGGGGTCTTTTCCGCTGAGTCGCCCACAGTAGGTCTTTTTTTCGGCTATGATGGTTCAAATGGTACAAATATCGGTCACATCGGAATAGTAGGGTGTAGATTTAAAGATATACAACAAGACCAAAGAGACCAAGGAGACCAACCCCCAGAGACCAACGAGACCAACCCGAGGACCAAGAGACCAACCGAGACCACACGAGCCCAACCGAGACCAAGAGACCATGAGATCAACGAGACCACAGAGACGCAACGGACCAACACGAGGCCCAACGAGACCAAGAGACCCAACCCGAGACCAAGACCCCGAGCCAAGAGACCAGCGAGTTCCAAGCGAGACCGACATCAGAGACCAAGAGACGACCAAGGACCAGCGACACAGAGACACAGAGACACAGAGACACAGAGACACAGAGACACAGAGACACAGAGAGACACAGAGACACAGAGACACAGAGACACAGAGACACAGAGACAGAGAGACACAGAGACACAGAGACACAGAGACACAGAGACACAGAGACACAGAGACACAGAGACACAGAGACACAGAGACACAGAGACACAGAGACACAGAGACACAGAGACACAGAGACACAGAGACACAGAGACAGAGACACAGAGACAGAGAGACACAGAGACACAGAGACACAGAGACACAGAGACACAGAGACACAGAGACACAGAGACCAGAGACAGAGAGACACAGAGACACAGAGACACAGAGACACAGAGACACAGAGACAAGAGACACAGAGAGACACAGAGACACAGAGACACAGAGACCAGAGAGAGACACAGAGACACAGAGAGACACAGAGACACAGAGACACAGAGACACAGAGACACAGAGACACAGAGACACAGAGACCAGAGAGACACAGAGACACAGAGACAGAGAGACACAGAGACACAGAGACACAGAGACAGAGACCAGAGAGACACAGAGACACAGAGACACAGAGACACAGAGACAGAGAGACACAGAGACACAGAGACACAGAGACACAGAGACAGAGACACAGAGACACAGAGACACAGAGACACAGAGACACAGAGACACAGAGACAGAGACACAGAGACACAGAGACCAGAGACAGAGACCAGAGAGACACAGAGACAGAGAGACACAGAGACCAGAGACACAGAGACACAGAGACACAGAGACACAGAGACACAGAGACACAGAGACAAGAGAGACCAGAGAGACACAGAGACAGAGACACAGAGACACAGAGACACAGAGACACAGAGACAGAGAGACACAGAGACACAGAGACACAGAGACACAGAGACACAGAGACAGAGAGACCAGAGAGAGACAGAGAGACACAGAGACAGAGAGACACAGAGACACAGAGACCAGAGACACAGAGACCAGAGAGAGACAGAGAGACACAGAGACAGAGACCAGAGAGAGACAGAGAGAGACCAGAGAGACAGAGACACAGAGAGAGACCAGAGAGAGACCAGAGAGAGACACAGAGACACAGAGACACAGAGACAGAGACCAGAGAGAGACCAGAGAGAGACCAGAGACAGAGACACAGAGACAGAGACCAGAGAGAGACCAGAGAGAGACCAGAGAGAGACACAGAGACACAGAGACCAGAGAGAGACAGAGAGACCAGAGAGAGACCAGAGACACAGAGACCAGAGAGAGACCAGAGAGAGACCAGAGAGAGACACAGAGACAGAGACCAGAGAGAGACACAGAGACACAGAGACCAGAGAGAGACCAGAGACAGAGAGACACAGAGACACAGAGAGAGACCAGAGACAGAGACACAGAGAGACCAGAGAGAGACCAGAGAGAGACCAGAGACACAGAGACAGAGAGACCAGAGAGAGACCAGAGAGAGAGACCAGAGACAGAGACCAGAGAGAGACCAGAGACAGAGACCAGAGAGAGACCAGAGACAGAGAGACACAGAGACAGAGAGACACAGAGAGACCAGAGACAGAGACCAGAGAGAGACCAGAGACAGAGACCAGAGAGAGACCAGAGAGAGACCAGAGAGACCAGAGAGAGACCAGAGAGACCAGAGACACAGAGACAGAGACCAGAGAGAGACCAGAGAGAGACCAGAGAGAGACAGAGAGAGACCAGAGAGAGACCAGAGAGAGACCAGAGAGACCAGAGACAGAGACCAGAGAGAGACACAGAGACAGAGAGACCAGAGAGAGACCAGAGAGACCAGAGAGAGACCAGAGAGAGACACAGAGAGACAGAGACCAGAGACCAGAGACACAGAGAGACCAGAGAGAGACCAGAGAGACAGAGACCAGAGAGACACAGAGACAGAGACCAGAGAGACCAGAGACACAGAGACCAGAGAGACCAGAGACCAGAGAGAGACCAGAGATGAGACCAGAGAGAGACAGAGACCAGGAGAGACCAGAGAGAGACCAGAGAGGACAGAGAGACCAGAGAGAGACCAGAGAGAGACCAGAGAGACCAGAGCGACCAGAGAGAAACACCAGAGACGAGACCCAGAGAGAGACCAGAGAGAGAGACCCAGAGAGACACCAGAGAGAGACCAGAGAGATACCAGAGAGAGGACCCAGAGAGAGACCAGAGAGAGACAGAGAGAGACCAGAGAGACCAGAGAGAGACCAGAGAGAGACCAGAGAGAGACTACAGAGAGAGAGAGACCAGAGTGAGACCAAGACCAGAGAGCCCAGAGAGAGACCAGAGAGAGAACAGCAGAGACTTTAGAGAGACCAGAGACAAGAGGAGACCAGAGAGACCAAGAGACAGAGAGAGACCAGAGAGCCAGAGAGAGACCAGAGAGAGACCAGAGAGAGGACCAGAGAGAGACCAGAGAGAGACCAGAGAGAGAGAGAGAGACCAGAGAGAGACACAGAGAGAGTGACCAGAGAGAGACCAGAGAGACAGAGAGAGACCAGAGAGAGACCAGAGAGAGACCAGAGAGAGACCAGAGAGAGACCAGAGAGAGAGAGACCAGAGAGAGACCAGAGAGAGACAGAGAGAGACAGAGCGACCAGAGAGAGACCAGAGAGAGACACAGAGACCAGAGAGAGACCAGAGAGACCAGAGAGAGACCAGAGAGACCAGAGAGAGACCAGAGAGCCAGACCAGAGAGAGACCAGAGACCAGAGACCTAGAGAACCAGAGAGAGACCAGAGAGAGACCAGAGAGAGGCCAGAGAGCAGAGACCAGAGAGAGGCCAGAGAGACCAGAGAGAGACCAGAGAGAGGTCAGAGGAGACCAGAGAGACCAGAGAGACCAGAGAGAGACCAGAGAGACCAGAGAGAGACCAGAGAGAGACCAGAGAGAGACCAGAGAGTGAGAGAACCAGAGAGACCAGAGAGAGAGACCAGAGAGACCAGAGAGAGACCAGAGAGAGAGACCAGAGAGACCAGAGAGACCAGAGAGAGGTCAGAGAGACCAGAGAGAGACCAGAGAGAGACCAGAGAGACCAGAGAGACCAGAGAGAGACCAGAGAGAGACCAGAGAGAGACCAGAGAGAGACCAGAGAGAGACCAGAGAGAGACCAGAGAGAGACCAGAGAGACCAGAGAGAGACCAGAGAGAGACCAGAGAGAGACCAGAGAGAGACCAGAGAGAGACCAGAGAGAGACCAGAGAGACCAGAGAGAGACCAGAGAGAGACCAGAGAGACCAGAGAGAGACCAGAGAGAGACCAAGAGAGACCAGAGACCAGAGAGAGACAGAGAGAGCCAGAGAGAGACCAGAGAGACCAGAGAGAGACCAGAGAGACCAGAGAGAGACCAGAGAGAGACCAGAGAGAGACCAGAGAGAGACCCAGAGAGAGACCAGAGAGAGACCAGAGAGAGACCAGAGAGACCAGAGAGAGACCAGAGAGAGACCAGAGAGAGACCAGAGAGAGACCAGAGAGAGACCAGAGAGAGACCAGAGAGAGACCAGAGAGAGACCAGAGAGAGACCAGAGAGACCAGAGAGAGACCAGAGAGAGGCCAGAGAGACCAGAGAGAGAGCAGAGGGACCAGAGAGACCAGAGAGAGACCAGAGAGAGACCAGAGAGAGACCAGAGACCAGAGAGACCAGAGAGAGGACCAGAGAGACCAGAGAGAGACCAGAGAGACCAGAGAGAGACCAGAGAGAGACCAGAGAGACCAGAGAGAGACCAGAGACACAGAGAGAGACCAGAGAGAGAGACCAGAGAGACCAGAGAGAGACCAGAGAGAGACCAGAGAGAGACCAGAGGACCAGAGAGAGACCAGAGAGAGACCAGAGAGAGAGAGAGACCCAGAGAGAGACCAGAGAGAGACCAGAGAGAGAGACCAGAGAGAGACCAGAGAGAGACCAGAGAGAGACCAGAGAGAGACCAGAGAGAGACCAGAGAGAGACCAGAGAGACAGAGAGAGACCAGAGAGAGACCAGAGAGAGACCAGAGAGACCAGAGAGACCACCCAGAGAGAGAGAGAGACCAGAGAGACCAGAGTTAGACCAGAGAGAGACCAGACCAGAGAGAGAGAGAGACCAGAGAGAGAGAACCAGAGAGAGCCAGAGAGACCAGAGGACCAGAGAGACCAGAGAGACCAGAGAGAGACCAGAGAGAGGCCAGAGAGAGAGACCAGAGAGAGACCAGAGAGAGACCAGAGAGAGAGACCAGAGAGAGACCAGAGAGACCAGAGAGACCAGAGTTAGACCAGAGAGAGACCAGAGAGACCAGAGAGAGACCAGAGAGACCAGAGGGACCAGAGTTAGACCAGAGAGAGACCAGAGAGACCAGAGAGAGACCAGAGAGACCAGAGGGACCAGAGAGAGACCAGAGAGACCAGAGAGAGACCAGAGAGAGGCCAGAGAGAGAGACCAGAGAGAGACCAGAGAGAGACCAGAGAGACCAGAGAGACCAGAGTTAGACCAGAGAGAGACCAGAGAGACCAGAGAGAGAC